CACAAACTGCACCTATCATAAAGAAGAAGCCCCACTCTTGCAGTCACCACTCTTGCAGTCATCCGGAGGAGAAAACCTTACCAAAACTTCACCTATCAGAGAAGCAGCCCCACCATTGACCGCCAAGTGCTCACATCAAGTTTAACTCTTAAGAAACAACACGCAAGTCTTGCCTAACCCTCAACATTGACGCCCCGCCGTGAGGCGTCTCCCAGCATCACCACTCGTGCAGTCATCCATAGGAGGAAACCTTCACACAAACTGCACCTATCATAAAGAAGATGAAGACTCCCAAGTGTCCAGAGTGTGGGGAGATGTTCAGTCAGCTTGGAAGTATGAAGACTCACATGTTAATGCATTCTGGTGAAAAACCTCATAAGTGTCCAGAGTGTGGGAAGAGGTTCAGTCAGCTTGGACATATGAAGACTCACTTGTTAGTCCATTCTGGTGAAAAACCTCATACGTGTCCAGAGTGCGGGAAGAGGTTCAGTCATCTTGGAAATATAAAGACTCACATGTTAGTGCATTCTGGTGAAAAACCTCATACGTGTCCTGAGTGTGGGAAGAGGTTCAGTCAGCTTGGAAGTATGAAAACACACATGTTAGTACACTCAGGTGAAAAACCTCATAAGTGTCCAGAGTGTGGGAAGAGGTTCAGTCAGCTTGGACATATGAAGACTCACATGTTAGTGCATTCGGGTGAAAAACATCATAAGTGTCCAGAGTGTGGGAAGAGGTTCAGTCATCTTGGAAGTATAAAGACTCACATGTTAGTGCATTCTGGTGAAAAACCTCATAAGTGTCCAGAGTGTGGGAAGAGGTTCAGTCGTCTTGGAAGTATAAAGACTCACATGTTAGTGCATTCGGGTGAAAAACTTCATAAGTGTCCAGAGTGTGGGAAGAAGTTTAGTCGTCTTGGACATATGAAAAGACACATGTTAGTGCATTCGGGTGAAAAACCTCATAAGTGTCCAGAATGTGGGAAGAGGTTTAAACGTCTTGAAAATGTGAAAAAACACATGATGATACACTCTGATGAAAGACCTTTAGAGTGTGATGAGTGTGGCAGAAGGTTTAGAGATCGTCAAGCTATAATAAGTCACATGTTAGTACATACAGAAGAAAAGCGTTTTGAGTGTGATAAATGTGGCAGATTATATAAGTCACGTAAAGCTATAAAAACACACATGTTATTGCATTTGAATGATAAACCTTCATGAGTGTCCAGAGTGTTGGAAGAGATTGTCATCTTTGTATTTATTTTATTTTATTTATGTATTTATTTGTTTATAAATTTATTTATTTATATACAAGAAAGTACATTGGGTTTATGAGAGTACAGAGCATTGAAGTTCTTCATTCTTGTAAAGCCACTAGCACGCATAGCGTTCCGGGCTGATCCTTAATTTAACATATAATTATAAGAAGGTAATTTCTAACAAAATTAAAAAAATGTTTACAGGTACATTGTAAGAAAGTATAAAAATACATCGCATGAAAACTCACAGGATGGAGCATTTGGGTGATAGGTTAAACATTTTGAGTGTGAGAGATAAATCAGAAAATGTTTAAGTATAATGTATAATACAGTGCATATTAGTTCATTAACATATAATACCATTTATCCAATTTTACAATTGTTGGAAATTGTAAACTTAATCTGGAAAATATCTTGCACTCTCAATTGCTACATCCATTATTTTATTATATATTTTTATACTGTATTAGCTTACCCAATTCCATATACTGTATTAAAAAACAAAAGTACAAAGTAAAAAGAGAGTGAGAAACAAGGTACAGTGAAGTAGCAACTTCACTGTACCTTGTACCTCACTCTCCAACCCCTGCCCTATTTCCCTTTCTGTCGTCCATGGTCGTGTATCTACCACTGGTACCGATTGTCTCCTTTGAAGTCTGTGTACCTCATAGTTTCTGTTCCACTTTCTTCTCTGCCACTGAAGAGACATGGCAATGTTCCACTGCCACAGTGCTTGGGTAACAAACTAAGTTTGTTGTAAGAAATTATATATTATAGATTCATTATTTGGTCCATGGGGTGTTGAAAATTGGAGTGAGAGGGTAGTCTACTTCACTTTGGAAGTGGGAAGGTCCTTTCCGCGGGGATTAGGACAGTAGTGTATATACAGGGGCGCCAGCTCTCCTTGGTTTTAAAGTATCACTTTGAGTCATTCAGGTATTAAAGTAACTGTAATTAATAACTCCCTGTTGTCAAGCATGTTGATTAATTTAACGTCAGTTATGAGTGTAGAATCAAATTACCTTCTTAATCCGAGAGCAGATGACCCGGTTGCACTTGGCAACACCGGGAGGACAGGTCATCTTGTGGCTGGCCGCACCTTCCACCCTTCTCCCTCATGTTAATTCAGTTATTTACAGAAATTCAGCCATTCATTTAATATTGTATTCAATAATACAGAGATTATGTTTAATAACCAGCCTGGTTAAATATGAATGTAAAGGGTGAGATCTGGGTCGCATACCGTCAAAGAGACAGTGACGTCATGTTTGCTTTGAGGGTACTACTTTACCTGACCTACCAGGGGTCGAGGTTTGGCGCCCGACGTCACCACAATCTTCCATATTTACTAGTTCATATTGCACAAATTAAAGTCCACTAGAGAATATTGTAATTCATATAGCTTTGCCAAGATGACTAATTTAATTACCACCAGTTAAATGATAATTCAACCATCTGGGGTTACCAGTAATTAGAATTATTTTGTTCATTTCACCTTGCTTTGTAATTGATAACTAGGCGGAGGAATACTAGGGCAGCTCTCTCGGCTTGAGAGAGGAGTAGGATCAGTGAGTGTAGTGTGAACCTCCAGTGGGGACAAGACCTCTCCCAGAGCCGGCGAACATCAGGCCAGGCCGTGGTATTAAGGTATTTGTTTTTCTTGAGTTGGTATTCTGTAGGAATCCACTTTGTTTGCTATAGGATTTTCAGCGCCTCCGTTAAATAGGGCTATAGTCAGGGAATTTGTTAAATATTAATTGGATGCCAAATTTTGATTTAATAAATAATTATAGAATTTATTTTGTTTAGTGGTATTTTCCTTTCTTTTTTTATTTTCACATTATTTTTGAATGCAAGTCAAATGTCTACACCTAGTCTCCTCATGCAAACCAACAAGCATTTATTTAATTAAAAAAGATAATCCGTTTGCTCTTACTTTCCATATTAACGTAAACCGTAGCCCTACTTTTCATTTCATTGGGGTTAGAATTTCATGGGACGCTTAATTGATGGTATCTTGCTTTTCATCTGTTGAGAAATTTACTCAGGCATAGCAGGTGGTGGCGGTGAATATTCAGAGTTTGCAGTTTAATCTAGAGGAGACAGTATCTCTTAAGTTCAGGATATCTGAATGGTCAAACGATTGGATCTCGAGGGATTGTACTGAAGGTTACTCAGCAGAACTCTGGTTTCTGTATATATGTTCTTTAACTTTTCTTCAATAACGACCAACTTTTAACCAGTAGTGAGGTTAAAGGTTGGCCCCCGTTACACTGCCCTTTCCAGTACCATAACTGCCACCGTCTTTGAAGGCTTGAAAGCAAACCGAAAGCATTCTAGTTGATTGTTAACTTTTCACTGTGGTTATATATATATATATATATATATATATATATATATATATATATATATATATATATATATATATATATATAT